AATTGGGCCTTGCTTGAAAACCCAATTGTTAAGTTAGCTTGTATCCTAAGTTAACTTAGTAATCTATAAATAGACTAGTTCTCTCAGGTTGTTGAGAGAGGTTAATTGTTGGTATTCATTTGTAATCTTTGAACCCTATTGAGAAAGTGAATAGTAAAACAAATTTAACCAATTCTCTATTTTTCTTCCTTATCCTCTCCCTTTTGTAAAACCTAATAGAGTTTCTTGTGTTTTTTTTAAAAACTCAATCTTTATCTTATAATTTTGTTCTATTATTGACGATATCGTTTCACAACAAATTGGTGCAGTGAGCATGAAGAAGAAGATGTCGTCAACAAAATATGAGATAGAAAAATTCACCAGTGTGAATGATTTCGGTTTGTGGCGCTTGAAGATGCAAGCCCTTCTTGTTCAACGGGGTTTGTTAGAAGCGTTGAAAGGATCGAAGAAGATGGACGCTGCCCTATCGAAGAAGGAGAAGACAACAATGGTCAAAAAAGCCCACAGTGTCATTGTGTTGAGCCTTGGTGATAAGGTTCTCTGGCAGGTTTCAAAGGAGAAAATTATAGCTGGTGTATGGATGAAACTTAAAGGTTTGTATATGACTAAATTGTTGGTTAATCATCTCTGCCTGAAGCAAGCTTTGTATTCGTTCAAGATTAGTGAAGACAAAGCCTTGGCTGGTCAGCTGGATATGTTCAACAAGTTAATTCTTGATCTTGAAAATTTGAGGTCAACATTAATGATGAATATCAAGTATTGTTGTTGTTATGCTATTTACCTAAGTCTCATGCTCACTTCAAAGAAACTCTCTTATATGGAAGAGAGTCATTGACCTTTGAAGATGTTCAATCTTCCTTGTACTCTAAGGATTTGAACGAATAAAAGAAGCATAAGTCATCTTCTATTGGTGAAGGTTTGCCCGTTAAGGGGAAATTCTTGAAGAAAGATGATAGATTTGAGAAGAATGGCAAAGTTCTATAGAATTCTTATGGTGGTAATGCTCCTACTATTAAGTGTTATCAATGTAAGAAGGAGGGCCATACAAGAAAAGTATGCCCTAGTCGTCTGAACAATCATGGTGGAATGGATAATGGTAATGCAGCCATTGTGTAAGATGATTATGAATCATCTGATGTCCTAGTGGTTTCAAGCATTGGCTCTAGCAAGGAGTGGATTATGGATTCAGTGTGTACTTGGCACACGACTCCAAACAAAGATATGTTTGAGGAATTGTGTGATCAAGATGGTGGACCAGTGGTGCTGGGAAACAACAAAGCTTGCAAAATTGCAGGTATTAGATCTGTGAGATTCAAGCTCCATGACGAGTCAATAAGACTATTGACTGATGTTAGGTATGTACTTGATCTTAAGAGGAATTTAATTTCAATTGGTGAATTCAATAAGAAAGGATATATTTTCAAAGGAGAGAAAAACATCCTAAGGGTAATGAAAGGGTCGAAGGAAGTCTTGAGAGGCATGAAGAAACAAGTCTTGTATACTCTTGAGGCTGATGTTGTAAGTGATTCAGCATATGTGGCATCCACAAAACCTATGTTGAAGACTAGGCTATGGCACAAGAGACTTGGCCACGTTAGTGAAATCGACCTGGTCGAATTGTCAAAACAAAATCTACTGGTGGTGATAAGGTCGAAAAAACTGGAGTTTTTTGAACCTTATGTATTTGGTAAATCCTATAGAATGAAGTTTAACAAAGGTAAACAAAAAACACATGGATCCCTTGATTACATTCATGTTGATCTTTAGGGTCCTGCAAGGAATCCTTCACACTCAGTTGCAAAGTATTTTCTATCCATAGTTGATGATTACTCTAGAAAGATATAGGTGTTCATCCAGAAGACTAAGGATGAAACTTTTGAAAAGTTCAAAAGTTGGTAGACTCTGATCAAAAATCAAACTGGCAGGAAGGTCAAGAGGTTGAGGACCAACATTGGTCTTTAATTTTGCAATGAGGCTTTTGATAGCTATTGTGCAGCGTATGGTATTAGAAGGCATAAAACTACAACAGGGACTCCCCAACAAAATGGTTTAGCTGAAAGGTTTAATCGAACCATTCTCAAAAGGGTGAGGTTCATGTTGGTAAGTGCAGGATTGAAGAAGGTGTTTTGGGCATAAGTTGTTGTGACTGCAGCATACTTGATAAATAGGTGTCCCTCGACAGTTTTGCGAATGAAGACACCTGAAGAAGTCTGGTCGGAATATCCACCTAGTCTCGATAGACTTAGAGTATTTGGTTATTTAACCTACGCTCATATTAGGCAAGACAAGGTTGAACCTAGAGCTCTGAGATGTATGTTCCTTGGATATCTAGAAGGAGTCAAAGCTTATAGGTTGTGGTGCCTAGAGGCAGGTCACAAGAGGTATATCATAAGTCGAGATGAAGTTTTCAATAAAGCCGAGATGGCTTTCAAGAAAACTGATAACGTTGGTCGAAATTTGAAGATCTTTGAAAAATAGTTGGAACATGAAGAGATTCTTGTTGAGGTGGAACATAGTGATGCTAAATTGTATAGCACATATGAAGTCAAAGAAGAATCTCAAGTTGCTGACGAAGATGGGGAGACTGATAATGAATACCTAGTGACAAGAGATAGGTCGAGAAGAGTCATCAAGGCACCTCAGAGATTTGGTTATGCAGATCTTATAACTTATGCCTTAATCTCTACAAGTGAGGATCTGGACGAAGAAACTAGAGACTATAAGAAAGTTATGAGGAGTTGAGATAAGACTGAATGGATGAAAGCCATGGATGATGAAAGCTAGTTTGTTCCCTTGTTATAGAGTTTGTTCCAAGGTGGAGATTTTTGATATTTGGATCGAACTCTAGTGTCGACAAGGCTAGCTTCATGATTCGACAGGAGTTGTGTATGTTGTAGTCGATATCTGTTCGAGCATACTGTCAAAATATGTTAACTTGTAATTTAAGTTAGTATGTCGAATTGGACCTTGCTTGAAAGTCCAATTGTTAAGTTAGTTTGTATCCTAATTTAGCTTAGTAGTCTATAAATATACTAGTTCTCTTAGGTTGTTGAGAGAGGTTAATTATTGATATTCACTTGTAATCTTTAAACCCTATTGAGAAAGTGAATAGAAAAACAGATTTAAACAATTCTCAATTCTTCTTCTCTCCCTTTTATAAAACCTAATAGAATTTCCTATTTTTGTTCAAGAACCTCAATCTTTATTTCATAACTTTATTATGTTATTGACGACATCGTTTCAATATATATATATATATATATATATATATATATATATATATATATATATATATATATATATATATATATATATATATATATATATATATATATATATATATATATATATATATATATATATATATATATATATATATATATATATATATATATATATATATATATATATATATATATATATATATATATATATATATAGACACACACACTATAAGATTGTTAATAAAAAAATTTAAAAAAAAAAACTAGTCGAAACAACTCTAGAAAAAAAACTCAAAAAAAACAAAAGAGCGTGTTTTATTGCACCCTATGTAATTTGTAGAGACCATGCGAATTTTTAAAAATATTTCTAATTTTTGGAGATATATTTTCGAATACACTCTAATACACACATTTCAATCGTTATTGAGTCAGACCTTAATTGTATTAATAAATTTATTCTAAAAATATATCTCCAAAAAAATTCCAAAAATTTATTTCCGAAATATATTAAATTGGCTTAATAAGTGTATTGTTCATCTTCTTCAACCACATACAATTGTATTTAACTCTATTTTACACCACATACAATTTAATTGATTTTAGAATACAATTTAATCGAGCTTAGAACCAAATTTATTTCGGACATAATGATCAATTTTGAATTTCTAAGCTTTCGTTGAAAGAACTAGTTTTCCACTTAAAACAAATTTATCTACGTATTGGAGTACAATTTCCTTTGAAATTTGTAAATCATGAGACTGTGATGTTGTGATGCTGTATGAAAATCATACAACCTTTTGTTCGAGAGACATAGCATTCAGCTCAATATTTCCTTGTTAAAAGTTTTAGCTTTTAACTCCCTTTTAATACTGTTTATGAAATATTAGAATTGTACTCCTATGTAGTAGAAGAAGATGAACAGTAAATTTATTAGATTACTTTAACACATTCTTAAAATATATTTTTAGAGATAATTATCGAAATAAATTTATTAATTTCAAAAACGATTGAAATGCATGTATTAAAATATGTTCGAAGATATCTTCAAAACTTATGAGATTTTTAAAAATATGTATAGTGTCTAAGAAACACTTCAATAAAGTGCAATAAGAAATGTTCAAATCAAAAAATCTACCTCTAAAAAGAATAAGCTATAGAAGCTCTAACCAGCCCTACTCAAGTTAGTCTTTTTCTTTTTTCATATTTAACTCTAAAATTAAAATGTTGTTTTATACATATTTTTCGTGTGACAAAAAACCATTCATGTCTTTCATTAATTTTATTAAATATTTACTAAAAAAAACAATAATTGTTTACTACAAAATTGTTTAATTTAACAAACTAATTTGTTATTCGGAAATTTAAAAGATTAAATTGTTGGTCTTATTATCTCGAGAACTAAAATGTTGTTTTATTTAAAACGTTGTCTTCAACCATGGCTTTTATAATGCTTATACAATGAACTTATGAGAAACTAACCAAGTGTGCATTGGAACATAGCATGGGTAGACAAGCATAGAATAAAAACTTCTAACTAATTCTTAACTAACTTTAGGACAAATTACTTATGTACTTAGCAACCATAATTAAAGTTAGTTATGTGCTTAACAACCATAATTAACTTGAAGTATATGATTGTGTAATAAAGAGCCCATACTCCCCACCCACCCCCAACTCTCATCTATACATAACATGTCTTTTTTAACAAACCTATGCTTCAAAACAAAAGCTGATCAAAGCAAAACATGAAAGGCATCTGAAAAAGTTCTTTAAGCCATGGATGTTAAAGTACCACACCTCAACGATGAACAAAAGCTACCACTTCTACACAACATGGACATTGTAGAACCACAAAAGACCCTTATTCATAGAGCCATAAATCAAACATGCAAAAGCACAGCTCATTTATCCAACCTTTTACCAACAGGCACTGTCCTTTCATTCCAAATCCTATCACCAATATTCACAAACCAAGGTAAATGTGATAATCATCCAGTTACAAAGTTAATCACTTTATCACTTTTATCCCTCTGTGCTGCCTCATGTTTCATACTATGCTTCACCGATAGCTTTCGCGACAGTAAAGGAAACATATGTTACGGATTTGCCACATGTAAAGGCTTGTGGATCATTGATGGATCAGCAACACTTCCTCGTGAACTTGATGAAAAATATCAACTAAGGTTCATTGATTTTCTGCATGCAGTTATGTCAATCTTGGTTTTTTCAGCTATTGCATTGTTTGATCAGAATGTTGTTAAGTGTTTCTTTCCATCACCTTCACATGAGATGCGGCAAATCCTTACTGCATTGCCGGTCGGAATCGGTGTTTTCTGTAGCATGATGTTTGTTGCATTTCCTACACGGAGACATGGAATTGGTTTCCCACTTTCAACAAATTAATTCTTGTTATAGGTCCTTTTACTGTCGAAGAAAAACAGTTATAGGTCCTTTTTTATTATTTAGATATATACTTATTATGGAATGGTTTCAAGAACTTGGTTGGGATTGTAACAAATAATATGTATGAAATTGAGTTTCACTATTTGAATATCATATGATATTTCATGAAATTCAATTCAGCTTTATTAAATAAAATATGTATTTACCAAATTTTAAACTATTAGAATAGATAGTTTATTTCTTATTTGATGTTTTCTGGTTCATTATTCTTACTGGACCTCCTTCTTATTTGTGGCTCTTTGGGCCTTATGATGGCCCGTTTATTGGCCTAATTTATTTCTAGGGAGTTTCTTATGGTATTCTTTGGGGGTTTTTAGCGGCCATGCACAGTTTTTTAAAAGTTCTCAGGTTTCGGAGATATATCTTCAGACGTATTTTTTTTTTACTCAACTTTAAATTTTTTCAGAGATACATCTCAGATATCACTATAAAACACGTATTTTATTCATTTTTGAGTCAGACCCTCAAATTTACAAATAAATTGTTTTCGGAAATATTAGAGTTATATCTCCAAAATCTAGAGACATTTAAGAAAACACGCATGGTGGCTAAGAGACCTTATAGATGGGATAAGAAATCCCCTTATTTCTATTATTCAAGTTGTAACCATTTTTACTTTATAAGAATTTTAATTCATGAATATTTTATCCTAAACGTCACTCCTATCCTTTCTATCATGCATGATAACATGTACTTTCTTATGTATAGATTGGTGTTTACTAGTATTATCTTATTTCGACTACTCTTTTTCTAACCAAATGTGATTTTACAACTGATAAAGAGGAAAAAAAATTTAATGTTAACTCATATTCATTTTGATTTTTGTTTTTCTTTCATAAAAGAGGAAGTTTATCCAGGATTGAAAAGACTATTATGGTTTCATTCATATGCATTTTATGTTGTTTATAAGAATTAAAAATCATTTTTATTCCATGCATTTGTTCCATATTAGACTTATTATTGTTGGTGCAAAGATAGAATAAATGATGAAAATAGGGAAATATTCTATTAAAGAGAATAACGGCAGAAGAAACAGGATTAAGAGTTACAATGATTGTCACCCTATTTATAAGCTAAAACTAGGGTTACTAGAATAAGATAAATACTAAAATACCCTCTAACAAACTTATGGGCTTAAGAAAGTAATATAATAAAATATGAATTATTACTAATACCATCCCTTAATTCATATTCCATCAAAACTTGTAACACCAATTCCATCCCTTAATCTGAGAAATTGATCAGTCTTGATAGCTTTCGTCAGAACATCTGCCAACTGCTTCTGAGTGCTGTAGTGTACAACTTCTAACACTCCACTCTGAACTTGATGTCTCAGAAAATGATACTTGGTCTCAATATGCTTGCTTCTCCCATGCAACACTGGGTTTCTGGCAAGATTGATTGCAGAGTTGTTGTCAATCATCAGCTTCAGAGGTTTGTTTACTTTAATCTTCAGATCCTGCAACAGATTCAGAATCCACACAGCTTGGCATACAGTAACAGCACCTGCAATGTATTCAGCTTCACAGGTTGACAACGCCACAACAGGTTGCTTCTTGGAACACCAAGAGATGGAACCTCCCAGAAATTTGAACAAGTACCCAGATGTACTTCTTCTGTCAACTCTGTCTCCACACCAATCAGAGTCTGAATAACTCAGAAGTTCTGACTCATTATTTCCTCTAGAGGAAAATAACACTCCATACTTCAGAGTTCCTTTGATATACCTCAGAATCCTGACAGCAGCTTGATAATGGGACCACTTAGGTTTACTCATGAACCTACTAACCATCCCAACAGAGTAGCAAATATCAGGTCTGGTATTGCACAGATACCTCAGAGAACCAACCAACTGTTTGAAGGTTGTAGCATCCACATCCTTTCCTTCAGAGTCTGAATCCAGTTTCTGATTTATATCTGAAGGTGTGACAGCCATCTTACAATTCTTCAGATCAAATCTCTTCAGAAGTTCTAATTCATACTTGAGCTGATGCAAAATGATACCTTTCTCAGAATATCTGAACTTCATCCCTAGAAAGTATGTCATTTTGCCTAGATCAGTCATTTCAAATTCATTCATCAGAACTTTCTTGAACTTGGCTATCTCTTGTTCAGAACTTCCAGTCAGCAGTATATCATCAACATATAAACATACCAGAGTCATATTGCCTTCAGAAGTATGCTGAACATAGACACCGTACTCCATCTCACATTTCTGAAAGCCTTGCTTCTTGAAAAATGAATCAATCTTCTGATTCCAAGCTCTGGGCGCTTGTTTCAATCCATATAGAGCTTTGTATAATCTGTACACCATCCCTTCCTGATTCTTTTTCACAAATCCAGGAGGTTGTGACACGTAAACTTCTTCTTCTAATGGACCATTCAGAAATGCAGATTTTACATCTAAATGCATCAGAGGCCAATTCCTGTTAGCAGCTATTGCAATCACCATTCTGATTGTTTCATGTCTTGATACAGGTGCAAACACTTCAGAGTAATCCAGCCCAGGTTTCTGTAGAAATCCTCTGGCTACCAACCTTGCTTTATGTTTGCCAATTGAACCATCTGGCTTTAACTTCTGCTTGAAAACCCATCTGACGCTGATGGCTTTCTTGTCTTTTGGAAGTTTTGTCAGCTTCCAAGTCTTGTTTCTCTCTATAGCATCGAGTTCTTCTTTCATGGCCTTCAGCCAGAGCTTCTGCTTAAGAGCCTCTTCTGTACTTATGGGTTCAGAGTCTACCATCATGGCACACTGAATAACTTCTCCTTCAGAGTCTACTTTAGTGTCTTGCAGTATGTCAAATTCTGCAAATCTTCTGGGAACGCTTCTGATTCTTTGTGGTCTCTGAACTTGTTCAGAGTCTTGGGCTTCAGATGATTGACTTTCTCCAGAGCTTTGACCAACTTCAGGATCTGGCATATTTCCAGAGTCTTGAACTTCAGAATTTCTAGCTTCAGAGGCTTGACTTCCTCCAGAGCCTTGGCCATCTTCAGAGTCTGAATTTCCACCAGAATCTGGATTACCATCAGAGTCTGGATCATCAGAGTCACCTTCATCTTCTGAGTCTTCTCCAGAGTCAGAATCACTATCAGAGTCAGAATCAACGTCAGAGTTTACTTCAACTTCAGAAATTCTTAACTCTGACCTTTCTTCAGAAGTTCTAACATCAGAATCAGATTGAGACTTATCCCAATTCCAAAGTTCTGATTCCTTCACAATCACATCTCTGCTGAATTCAATTTTATTGGTTTCTGGACAATAGAGCTTGTATGCACCTGTACTGTGGTACCCTATCAGAATCATCACTTTGCTTCTATCATCCAGCTTCTGTCTTCTGGCTTCTGGAACATGTTTATAGCAAACAGAACCAAACACCTTCAGATGACTAACACTTTGCTTGTCTCCAGTCCACTTCTGCATAGGAACTATTTCCTTCAACTTCTTCGTAGGACATCTGTTGAGTACATACGTTGCAGTTGCAACAGCTTCTCCCCAGAGCTTCTGAGGAAGCTTCTTCTCCTTTAGCATGCTTCTCACCATATCAAGCAAAGTACGGTTTCTTCTTTCAGCAAGACCATTGTGTTGAGGGGTATAAGGAGCAGTGACCTCATGCTCAATTCCATTCTCCTCACAGAACTTCTGGAACTCTTTGGAGTTATACTCACCTCCACCATCAGTTCTAAGAATCTTCAACTTCTGACCACTCTGATTCTCAGCCTTCATTCTGAACTTCTTGAATTCATCAAACACCTCGTGTTTGAACTTAATAAGGGATACCCATGTCATTCTTGTGAATCCATCAACAAATAACACAAAGTATTTATTCCCTCCAATTGATGCTACTGGAAATGGACCACACACATCAGAGTGTACAACTCCCAAGGCATGTTTTGCTCTTGGAGCAACTTCTGATGCAAATGGCAATCTTGGTTGTTTTCCTTCCATGCAAACTTTGCATGACTTTTCAGGCTTCTTAATTGCAGGAATTCCATGTACCAATTTCTTTGAATTCAGATGTTGTAAGCTTCTGAAATTCAAATGACCAAATCTTCTGTGCCACAGCTCACTCTCCTTCTCAGTACTTGTTGCACTAAGACACTCTGAGTCTGCAGTTCTGACATTCACCTTGAATGTTCTATTCCTTCCCTGTTCTGACTCCATAATCAACTTCTGATTACAATCATACAGCTTCAGAAGATTGTCCTTCATGGTAACTGAGAAACCTTTCTCAATTAATTGTCCCACACTCATCAGATTGCTTCTGATGCCAGGTACATACCACACATTCTGAATCAATGCTATTTTCCCATTGTTCAGAGTCACTCTGACATTTCCCATACCTTCTGCATTAAGATATTTGTCATCAACACATCTGATCTTTGTTCTCTTTTCAGAGTCAAAGTCAACCAGCCATTTCTTGTTTCCAGTAAGATGATTTGAACAGCCAGTGTCCATATACCACCAGTCTGTCAGATCCACATTATCAGATTCAGAGGCCATCAACAGCACAGATTCGTCATCAGAGCCTCTGGCTATATTTGCTTCTTCTGATTTCTTCTCCTTGTTTGACCAACAATCTCTAGCAAAGTGACCAAACTTCTTACAACAGTAACATTGGATCTTCTTCTTGTCATACTTCTCTTTTCCCTTCTGAGCATTCTTTTGTCTATCAGAGGTTGAGGTTTCTGACTTCTGACCACCATCAGATCTTCTCTTGGCTTCTGACTGCTTCTGATACCTCCTATCAGAAATTGCTTTCAGAGCCTGCTGCTCTACTTCCCTTTCAGAAGTTCTCTCAGTCAAACGCAACTCTTGCGCTTCTAAACTGCTCTGCAGCTCTTCAATTCTCATTGTGCTCAGATCTTTGGAATGTTCTATTGCTACCACAATGTAATCAAATTGAGGAGTAAGGGATCTCAATACTTTCTCCATGATTGTT